TTGCCCTGGGTAGAGTGCTGTGGCATCACAGCTCACAGCAACCTTTAACTCTTGGGCTTAAGCGATTCTTTTGCCTCAGCCACCCAAGTAGCTGGGACTACAGGCAGCCACCACAATGCCCAGCTACTTTTTGTTGAAGTTGTCATTGTTATTTAGCTGGCCTAGGTGAGGTTGGAACCCGCCAGCCTTGGTGGATGTGACCAGCATTGTAACTACTGTTCTCTAGGTGCCGAGCCTGTTAACTTTTTAAGAGAAATATTAAGTGTCCCATCATCAGGGAGATACTATCTTTGCTTTTGTTTAAATGGCGGAGCCAGGAAAATTTTCATTTCTCAGAGACAGATAAACAATACAAGTAAACAAATTGACAAACATGAAACCTACGTAAATATATTAGTATTCAAAAGATAGCTAATAAGGTGGCACCCGTAGCTCAGTGGTTAGAGCACCAGCTGCATACACCAAGGCTGGCAGATTTGAAGTGGCTGGGCCTGCTAAGAAACAACAATGACAATTGCAACAACAACAACAAAAATAGCTGGGTATTGCGGCAAGTGCCTATAGTCCCAGCTACTTGGGAGGCTGAGGCAGGAAAATCACTTAAGCCCAAAAGTTTGAGGTTGCTGTGAGCTGTGATACCACTGCACTCTACCAAGGTCCACACAGTGAGACTCGTCTCAAAGAAAAAGGTAATAAGCACTATTAGAAGAATTGAATTTTTCTAGGATAAGAAGAAAATCTTAGTTGCTTTAAACTGCCAACAAAGATAAATAGCAAATGACATCAGGGGTAAAAGAAGAACAAAAATAAGATAATACATGAAAAGGAGCTAAGGATAAAGAAGAACAGTGTTATGGGGTATATTTTACTATAAGCAGCGAAGAGCAAAATAAACAACATAGAAATGGAATCAGTAAGCTAGAAACTGGGCTTGAGGAAATCTGCCCAGTGATTTGGAAAGTCTAGAGAAAATGGGTAAAAAATGAGGTAATTAAAAGAATGAGTTGCAGATAATAAAACACATAATTCTCTGGAGAAGAGAATAGAATAATAGAATTGGAAAATATTCAAGAAAATCGTAATAAACGTATTTAAAATGAATGAAAATGTGAATCTGGAGCTTAAGAAAACTCATATTTTAGGAAAATATCTCAGCGTAATCTACTGAATTTTTGGGGATTACAAGAACTATTTCATAAACATCAAGAAAAAGTTAACTAAGTTAGTACAGTAGTAAATAATAAAGGCTGACTTTTTTTTCAACTACATAAAATTTCTGAGTTAATGACTCAGTAGCTGAAGAGTTTTGATGGAAAAAACACCTTTTTGATGGAAAATGTATCACCTTTTTTTTTATTGTGAGATCTCTCTGTCTACCCAGTTGTATGCTTTTTCTCTGTAATTCAGTTCTACTGCCTCCTAAACATGGCTTTTGTTTCCTTTTTTGCATATCTCTGGTTTGTCTTTGCTTATTGTTTTACTCTAATTATTAATATTTAAAATTTAGTAGTTGCTATGCACATATATTTGAAAACCTGAATTTTTTTTAAAGATATGTCAACTGACTCGAGAAGAATATACCTAGTAGACTATAATTATGAAAAAAATTGAGAAAATTATTCTCTAATATAAGCATCAGTAAAAATTGTCTTAAGGGAGATTAGATCTATAAGAAACCAAAATTCTAATTATTTTTAATTGTTCAGAATATGGGAGGGGGAATACTAACTTTAACACCAACTTTAACAGTGAATAACTAACGTAAAGCCAATTTTATTTCATTTATGTCTCTACTCCCTTGTTCCCTTTGTATATAAAAGCAAATCCCAGACATTTTGTCATTTCATCTGTACATTTTTTGTCACAAATGGTTAGCATTAATGTTAATAATGGTCAATCTGTTCTCTTAAAAAATACAGTGATTTTTTTTAAAAAATTTATTTATTGTTGGGGGTTCATCAAAGATATAAGAAACCAGGTTGCACTGATTGCATTTGTTAGGTAAAGTCCCTCTTATAATTGTGTCTTGCTCCCAAAAGGTGTGGCACACACCAAGACCCCACCCACCTCCCTCCTTCCCTCTCTCTGCTCTTCTTTTTCCCACCCCTCTCTCTTTCTTTCTCTCTCTGCTCTCCCCTTCCCCTACCCCGACCATGTCATTAATTGTCCTCATATCAAAATTGACTACACAGGATTCATGTTTCTCCATTCTTGTGATGCTTTACTGAGAATAATGTGTTCCACTTCCATCCAAGTTAATACAAAGGCTGTATTAAAAAATCCTCACTTTTTCATGGCTGAATAGTATTCCATGGTGTACATATACCAAAGCTTGTTAATCCATTCCTGGGTTGGTGGGCATTTAGTCTGTTTCCACATTTTGGCCATTGTAAATTCAGCTATAATAAAACAGTCTAGTGCAAGTGTCCTTATGATAAAAGGCTTTTTTTCCTTCTGGATAGATGCCCAGTAATGGGATTGCAAGATCAAATGGGAGGTCTAGCTTGAGTTCTTTGAGGGTTCTCCACACTTCCTTCCAAAAAGGTTGTATTAGTTTGCATCCCACCAGCAGTGTACAAGTGTTTCCTTCTCTCCACATTCATGCCAGCATCTGCAGTTTCGAGATTTTGTGATGTAGGCCGTTCTCCCTGGGGTTAGATGGTACCTCAGGGTGGTTTTGATTTGCATTTCTCTAATAATTAGGGATGATGAACATTTTTTCATATGTTAGCCATTCATCTGTCTTCTTTAGAGAAGGTTCTATTCATGTCTCTTGCCCATTGATATATGGTATTGTTGGCTTTTTTCACGTGGATTAATTTGAGTTCTCAAAGTTATCAAGCTTTTGTCTGACAAGCAAATATCCTTTCCCATTGTGTAGGTTGTCCATTTGCTTTGGTTGTTGTCTCCTTAGCTGTACAGAAGCTTTTCAGTTTAATTAGGTCCCATTTGTTTATTTTTGTTGTTGCAATTGCCATGGCAGTCAATTCTTTTGGTTCTGTTGAAGTTTTTTTTGTGTCCTATTTTATGATCAATTTTAGAGAATGTTCCATGGGCTGATGAGAAGAATGTATATTCTTTATCTTTGGGATGGAGTCTTCTATATATGTCTATCAAGGACAGTTGATCTCAGGTCTCGTTTAAGTCCCTTATATCTTTGTTTAATTTCTGTTCAGAGGATCTGTCCAGCTGTGTAAGAGAAGTATTAAAGTCCTCTGTTATTATGGTGTTATAGGATATCATATTGCTCAGACTGAGTAAGGTCTGTTTCAAGAATCTGGGAGCATTTAAGTTGGATGCATAAATATATAGAATTGAAATGTCTTCTTGTTGTATTTTTCCTTTGACCAATATAAAGTGACCATCTTTGTCTTTTTTGACTTTAGTTGCTTTAAATCCACATGTATCTGAAAATCAGATTGCAACTCCTCTTTTCTTCTGAATTAGGTTTGCCTGAAAAATTGTCTTCCAACCCTTAACTCAGAGTTTTAATTTGTCTTTTGAAGCTAGGTGTTTCCTGCAGACAGCAAATGGATGGGTTGTGTTTTTTAATCCCATCAGCCAATCTATACCTCTTCAGTGGGGAATTCAAGCCATTAACATTTAATGAGATAATTGATAAGTGTGAGGGCGTTCTAGTCATCTTATTTTGTGGGACTCCATTGCTTAGTTTTATGTTTTGCATCATTGTAGAAATTAGGTTCTGTCCTCTAATTAGGATTCTTACTTTGCTGTTGATCCATTGTGATGGCCAGTGTGTAGAACGGGTTGAAGTATTTTCTGTAGAGCTGGTCTTGTTGTGGCAAATTTCCTCAATGTTTGCATATCAGTAAATGATTTGATTTCTCTGTCCATTTTAAAGCTTAGCTTAGCAGGATGTAGAATTCTGGGTTGGAAATTGTTCTGTTTAAGTAGATTAAAGGTAGAT